CGGTGGTGGCGGCGGCGGCGGCGGTGGCGGTAGCGGCGGCGGCGGCGGCGGCGGCGGTGGCGGTGGCGGTGGCGGTGGCGGCGTCGCCGTCGGCGTCAGCGTCGGCGGCGGTGGCATCGGTGGTGGCACTTGCGGGTTGGCCGAGTTAACGTGCCGGGACGGCCGCTGCGTGCCGATCGACGCCTACTGCAACGGCCAGGATGACTGCGGCGACGGCAGCGATGAGCCCAAGATGTGCACGCCGTGCAATCGCACGTACCACGGCCGCGAGGGACACACGTACAAGCTGGACTTGCCCAGGCCCGCCGAGGAACGTCTGCCGTTCCTCTGCCACTTGACGTTCACCGCGGCCGGCCAGGGTTACGGCGAGCTGGTCCAGCTGCTGTGGGACGCGTTCAGCGTTGGTCGCGTCGACGCCAACGCCGACAACTACTACACCAGCTGTCCCGAGGGCTCGCTTCAGCTTGCCGAGCTCGGTAGACATTTCACCGGCGGCTCGTGGTGCGGCGTCAGCGAGGGTCGCGCGTCCTACTACAGGTACTCTCCCCGGATTTTCCCCAAAGTTGTCTCTATCGTTGTTGTCAAATTCAAACACGTTTTACGCGAATCTACGCAGATTATCAAGCGCGATCTTTTTTTTTTTATGCGACAGCAAACGAAAATGAAACGGATTGCATAATTTAACAGCGGTTCCCTTTTACTCTCGTTAAAAATCATCACGATGTAATACGAATCAATTGATCACTTTCTACAAAGTTCAAAATGCTTTTTTATTATTAATAATGATGAATAATTATCGATTATTATTATTAATGATTGCAGCGAAACCAGTACGGTCACTGCCTCCATACGGCTGTTCCACGCGCCGTCCTCGGTGCCGTTCGAATTTCGTCTCCGTTACCGCTTCGTCGCGCGCAACGAAGCGGTCGCCCGACTGGGTAAACCAGAACTGCCGATCGAGCGAGGTTCCCCGGTGCCGGGCACCTACTGCTCTCGCAACTTTTACGAATGTCACCTGAAGCAATGCCGGTTGCAGAGTCCGAATTATCCGGGCGAGTATCCGCGCAACGCCAGCTGCCTGATCACCGTACGCCAGAAGGAAGTACCTACGTGCAAGCACGCCATGATATCCGTCAAGAGCACACCCACCGGTCCGGTCGGTCTCACCACCACCACCACCGTCAACACGAGTCTCAGCGTCTGGCAGGACTGTTCCCCGGAGCGGGATCGTCTCATCTTCCGCGATGGCGCGCGGACGGAAGATCCGATCCTCCTGGTGTACTGCGGCGGTCCCCTGCCGCAGGTGACCGCGCGCGGTCCCGCCATGCAGGTGGAATTCCGCAGCTCGCCGGTAGCGATACCGCTGGGCGCTTCGTCGCTGCGGCTCCAGCTTGAACTGCGCGTGATCTACGTCGACTCGGACGGTCTGGATTACGCCAAGGGCCCGCAGGGCTGTCACTTCTTCGTGAACGGCACCGGCGTCGGCAGCAAGCGAAGCGGCATCGTACGCGCGCCTCTGCACGCGCTACCGCCCGGCTCCAGCTGCACGTGGAACATCAAGGGCGCGATCGGCGACCGCGTGTGGATATACTTCTCGTCGTATTCGCAACGCGATCTCACCGGCAACGTCGTCGAGAACAACGGGAACAACTCCAGTCAGACGCCGGACATCTCCGCGGCGTCGGTGTGCGCGGTTAAGCTCATCTTCTGGGACGGCGCGCCGAACACGGGTCAGCCGATGGCCACGCTGTGCGACGACACGCCCAAGCTCTGCGCCCACGCGGCTCTTCGTAATGTCACCAGGAGCACGAGACCGTGCACCGAGGACGAGAGCTACCTTACGACCGCCCCGAGCTTGACGCTGCGCATGGAAACCGTTCTGGGTACCGCCCTCCATCCAATTAACTTTCACGTAAGTATCGCGATATCGCATCGTCATAAAATCTCTTCGGTACCTTCAGGTTTCATCAGGCAATTTAATTCGATCGTAAATCTTTCTTTTTATTATAAGTCCTTTATCCACAATTTAAATAAGATTATCTATTTTATCCACTCCAGTGGAGTTCGTGTGTCGAGGAGCAGAGAGTTCCGTTTGCTCACGTCCCATATTCGATGGAATTTTCTAATGGATATTCTAATATTTAACTCGGAGAGTCTAATATTTAACTGACCAATTAACGATATGAGCAATCGAGATCCATTCGATATATTGGATTTCCATTGCTCGCATTGATTTCCCTTTTTATTTCTAGGCGCGATACGAGTTTGTCTCCACCGTTCAAACTGGCGAACCCTGGGGCGATGGTATCTGCAGCCGCGTATGGCGCAAGATGCAGGTCGGCGAGGTGATGTCACCGCGTGACGTACGTCTGTTTGGACGGGGTGGCGCCAGCAAGCTGGATTGCAGGTAGGGATGGGATTGAAGCTGGGAATGACGAAATGATAGTCAGTTTGAAAGACAAAAAGAGGACTTTTATGCAAATCCAGAATTTCAATGTGATTTCTTTCTGCCTTCCCCTATATTGGATTTGATTAGAATTTATGAATACATATCGATTCTGATGCAGGTATCGCGTGGAAGCCGGCAGCGGAGAGCGAGTTCGCTTGACTTTGCATAACGTGAGCCTCGGCGAATCCACCATGTGCATGAGCGATTCGGATCCACACACCGGTAGACCGCGTTGCGTCCAGGAAGTAGGATCCAGGGAAGCGCGTTTGGTTATTTATGAGGCACCGTGGCGGGACGTGAGGCTACCCCGGGCGTGTCTGTGCGACAATACGTCGCACCTGCCGCTCACGTATATCTCTTCCGGCCGTGCGCTGGAGATAACTTTCTTGGTGGACCAGCAGGCACCCCACGAGGACTTCGAGACGCTCTTTTTTACGCCACCTTCGAGCTCATCCGCGTGCCGGAGTGTCCGCGGAAACAGAGGATCCGCGGCGAGGGTGGCGAATTGAGATTCGTCACACCCCCGCTCTCGAGACCAGATATCTATTGCGAGGGTCTTCCATGGCTGGTGGAAGCGCGCGAGAACCGGTCGCTCTTCGTTTTGACCTGGGGCTGGTTTCTGCCGTTGGAGCCACCGCCACTCACCGGTCCCGAGACGTCCAGCGGCGTCAGCGGTACCAGTGGCGGCGGAAGTGGCACCAGTAGCAGCGGAAGTGGCACCAGTAGCAGCGGCAGCGGCAGCGGCAGCGGCAGCGGCAGCGGCGATCAGGTCAAATGCCCGACCACCAATCGCATTCTCCTCTATTCCGGCTGGCCGCCAAAGTTGTTGAAGGTGGTGTGTCCGGCGGAACCAGGCTCCCGTGAGTTCACCGTGCACGTGTTCTCGGAGGGATGGCTGGGCGCAACAGAGGAGGGCGAGTGGCCGGGACCACCAAGGCCGCCCGCATTACTGTTGGATTTCGTGGCACGAGAACCCGGTCAGGCGGCTGCTTCCTGGCTAGAGATCTCCAAGAGCCGCGCGGCATTGCGCCGGCAGCTGCGTCTTCCGGAAAGGATTCCAGGGGGAATAATGGAGAACGATACAAACGGCATGCCGTCGTACATCGGTGATTGTCCGCACAAGTGTCCCGAGTTGGGGGCGTGCATCGCCGCCAGTCTCTGGTGCGACGGCCATGCACACTGCCCGTCCGGTCACGACGAGGCTAACTGCGGGAACGGCGCGCGGCTGCTCGGGCTGCTCCCGCCTACCATATGGCTCGTCGTCGCCGGCATCGCTGGAATTGTCACTGCCTTCGCGTGCCTATTCACTATTCTTATTAGCAGGTAATACGAGAAAATTTGAAAAGTGAGAAAATCGAAACTAAACTTCTCGATATATCACCTCTCTTATCTGTTCAACGCTATCTGTCAAACGCTATTCTATCGATGCGATGGTAGAGGTGCTGTATTATGTAACAGCAGAGAGTGAATTAAAGCAAGTGGATCTTGAAAAATCAACAATGTGAAAGATAATTGTTATTTGAAAAAATATTTTTCTTGTTTTATTATCATGTGTCCTCATTTTCGTCATCATCTCCATTGTTTTAGATCGAAAGCTCGCACAAAGAGACTTCACTACAAGGGGCCGAAGAAGAGCAAGAAGCCGCGACGTGCACCGACGGAGGAGACGCTCCTTGGGGCGGCGTCCTGACAACAGCCGCCCGGTTTCGTGGAATACATTCACGTGGACCGGGAAACAACTGTCTAGCGACGCTAACTCTGTGCTTCACCGTCCAATGACTAACACTCTACTCGATAAATCCTCCCCCGTGGTGCCATATATGATATCGCGCATAACGATAGCACGTTCCTCAGACAGAACTCTACCGCGCGCTTCTTCCTCCCCTCGTTCCCTGCGTCGACTCCGAGTCGACATGGAAAAAAAAAAAAATCTATCCACCGAATGTCTTCTGTTTGCGTGATATAATTAGTGACATACTTATTTGTGATAGTCCTCTACATGTATTTAATTATAATTACGCGCTGTGTTACCTTCATGTACACACCCACACACGTGCGCGCGCGCGAATCTCTCAACTTAGGTATAGCTTTAATCGCGTCTCGATGAACGGAAAGTAAATCCCGTGAAGCTACGCGGACGATTTCGGACGAAGTCTACCTTTCAAACGCTATTATTACCTGACGATAAACTAATTCGCGCGTTCTCATACACATAGCGATAATTATTTTAGAAACTAGAAGAGAGAGAAAGAAAGAGAAAGGACGAGTCGTATATACCTCTCGTGAGTTATTCTAACAAAATATATATATATAAAATATAGATTAGGGCCGAGAATAAAAGAGACGTTTAATAAGATATAACGAATAAGATATATATATATATATATATATATATATATATATATATA